CGGCAGTTACTGTGATAAAGGCCGCCCTGCTGGCAGGGTGGAGAAGAGACCTGACGGTGCTTGGGGATGAGGGACAGCGGGTGTCCTGTGTTGCCGCGCAGCCTGGTGCCATGAAAAGGCCTCCTTGACTAGTGACCCGGGTCCCACTGGAGACGTGGCACAGGGTGATTTCACTGGGGGGCAAGGACAGAGACAAGGCTGGAAACTACAGAAATCCTACGCACAGAGTCAGCAAGTGAAATCCAGCAACGTGTGAAAACACGCACCACGGTCAAGTTAGGTTCATGCCAGGAATGCGAGGCTGGCCTGGCACTTCCAAATCTCAGTGTGATTCCTTACGTCAACTCACTCACACCCAGGGGCGGCCTGTGTGCCATCCTTGTGGGCAGTGGCTGCCCCGTGCTGTGTCTTTGATGGATCACGCCCCCTGCCCCCACCTCTGAAGGCTGCACGCGGAAAGGCTGTTGTCACCAGCGGGTCACACGTGAGAAGGGCTGTGTGGTCTCCTCCCCTGGCATCTGGAGAAGGAAACTGTGTCCTGTGGGTCCCTTGCTGCTGAGTCTGTTTGATTTGAGCTTTAGGAATTTGCTCTGTTTCAGGGAAAGTGAGCCGGATGCAGAAGGCTTCAGGTTAATGATATGTACTTTGGCGGCTAATGTAATTGCGGAAATGACAAATTACCGGCCGTCTGAGTTGTTTGCAGATACGAAGTGATGGAGGTGTTTCTGACGAGCGGCTTTGTGCTCCTTCTGTGTCAGCCTCTGCCCCGGCCCGAGTCGCCCCCGTGTCCCCGCGCCTCTGTGCAGGCGTCCCCAGGAAGGTCCCTGCTCTCAGCAGACGCGTGCTCTGTGGCTGCAGTCTCTCGGTGACCGTCCCTTTCTGTCTGGGCGTGTGGGAAGTGGCCGTTCTCGCTGTTCCCGGTGGCTGTGTTTGCAGAGTGACTGGCCGCTACCAGAACTCGCCCGAAGTCCAGCCCAGGGACAGGGTGTGGCTGTTCCTCGGGTCACCACCTCCAGCTGGGGCTGCGTTTGCTGTCACAGCAGTGTGGACGCTTGGCTGCTGCTGGCCACCGCCCCCGTCCAGCCACCGAGCTCCAGCTGCGGTGACCAGGAGCTGCAGTCGCCCCGGGGACAGAGCCTGTCTTCAGAGCCCGGCTCCAGCGGCGCAGCCTGCCAGCGTCCGGGAGAGCAGGGTCTGGGTCTCCTGCGTGGGCCACGCCACCCGCGCCTCAGCGCACCAGGGAACTCAGGCTCCTCGGGCTCCTGCCCACGTCTGCCGTCTCAGCCCTGGCTCGAGTGTCACTAATGCGGAATAAGCACTCTTGACAGTCTGGCTTATAAATATGTAAAAAGCATTTTAATTTTTTTCAACAAAAGAGGCAAGGAGTCAGTGTCGTGGACTCACCCTGGGGTCAGAGCCTGCGCGGGCGGGGGCTGCGCATGCGTTTCCGGGGCTACGTCCGGGCACCTGTGACAAATGGGTGCCCTGCAGCGTGTCGATAGGGCCGGTAAACGCTGGAAAAGTTGGGTTGAACTTTGGTTCTAATTATCCATTAGAGCTAATTATGGATTTTCTGACTGTGAATTTTAGTTCCTGTGCCTGCGCTGGCAGCTTATTTCTCATTTATTCATCGTCAACTTTGTGATGTCATGTTAGCCTTATCACGTTCAGTGAGGCGATGGCCTTGTGGTTTGCAGTGGCATTTATCCACGCACGCTTTTCCAGAGTGCTCTCTTTATCTGAAGCGGATGAAAAGATGCCTTTGTAAGGCTCCTGCCAGATGGCAGGTCCAGGCCTGCAGCTTTCTCCCCTGATTCCACACGTGTGTCCATCCCCTCATCCCTCTCCCTGAGAGGGGCCTCAACTCGATCTTGCCAAGGAGAGAAAGCCGAACGCGGGCTGTTTGGGATCTGCCGTGAAGGAGGCTCGGGGCCTGTCTAAGCGGGTTCAGAGCAAGGCCTGGGGGGAAGGAGGTGAGGAGCGTGGGGTGCACGCCCACTCCATGGCAAGCCTTCCTGCGTGTGTGAGCGTGTGTGTGAGAACGTGCTGATCCTGGGCCATGCAGCCTCAGGACCCGTAGGCAGCTCACCAGGCATGTGGCCTGGGTCCAGGACTAGCAAGAGCCCAAGGACAAAAGGCCCTGGGTCCAGAGTCAGGCGCAAGCCTCTCCCACCTGGTGTCCCGCCAGGGCACCATCTGCCGCGTCGCAGACCCACCTGCGGGGGAGGGACACTTGTTGGAGGGACACCTGCATGGCATCGCCCGGACAGCAGCGCCCGTCGTGTGTCGGCTGGGAGGGGCTTGCATCTGGGTGGTCAGTGCAGGCCGGGGAGCGTGGCTCCAGGGCTCTTCTGCCTCCGGCAGGCACTCGTGTGCACACGTATGTGCGTGTGCAAGCAGGTGCGCACGTCTGCCGCAGCTCTGCCAGGATGGAGGCAGAGTGTGTCTGTGCCCCTGCGCTTTGCCCCACCGAGTGCAGCACATGGGGTTCCCCGAAGTCATGCCCTGCGTCCACACAGACCTGGGCTTGGCGGCTGGCGGTGCTCTCTTGGTGACATCCCGTCAGGTGGCAGGTGTGGCCTTCGCATACCTGGAGTCAGAACACTGTGTCCTTACGAGCCATCTCTGTGGCCAGCCATGTGCCCTGACCTTAACTGGGCCTGTCTCCCTGAGGCCACACACATGCCACGGGGGTGGACGGGCATGAGTGTGCACCTGGCTGTTGCGCTGGGGTGGTGGATCAGGAGCAGGGCATGGTGGGAAGCCCCTCCCCAAGGTGACGAGCGAGGGGAAGACAGGCTGGTGGGCTGCGGGGCAGGAGGGGGAGGGCAAAGGGAAGACAGGCTGGTGGGCTGCGGGGCGGGAGGGGGAGGGGTCCGGGCCACCTCGAGACACAGCACCGGATTTGACATCTAAGATGGCATGAGGAAGAGGAGGGGACGCACCTGTCCACCCACACTGTTGGGGGCAGCGGCGTGCACCAGGGACAGCTGGCTGCAGGGAGGGGCAGCCGTGGACTGCCGGGGCACGTCATGGGCCCCTGCACTGTGGGGTTAGAGTCTTTGCTGAGCCTCCCAGCTGGAAAAGAAATCTTAAAACTAGGCAGAATTCCAGAAAACTTTGAGCTTCAGCTTTCGAAAGTTTAACCATTTACTTTGCCAGCTGTAATCAAAACAAAGCCCCGAGAGGGCCTCCCGGTCTCGCCGTTGTGTGTCCCATGGCCGTACCGAGGCACGTGGACCTGTGGACTCGACCAGCACGTGTGGAAGGTGGCCAGGCCCTTTGTGAGGCAAGAATTGGCTGATTCTGATACTTTGTTTTATCTGTAACTAATAAGTTTATTATACATCTAAATTTTACACGGTAGTAAATTTCAGCTTGTCTACATGACGAAGTATTTATTTTGAAGCGTGGAATCAGATAAATGAATTACCGGGAAGATGAGAGTAGGTCTGACTACGCCGCCCACTCCTTCCGGTGGGCGCATGGGGCTCCTGAGGGCGCGGGCTGCGCTGCGTCCTGCGTGGCTGGTGGTGCCTCGGGCCCCTGTGTGTGCCGCGGAGCACGAGCTGACACCCAGGGCTCTGCCTGCAGCTGGCAGGGCTGTGGAGGAAACCCCGACATCAACCGTTTCCCTTATCAGGGAGGATTACATCACGTTGCCAGATTAATAAAGACGCGGAAGGAGGTGAATCTTGCAGGTGGCAGCTCTGACGCCCGCGCCTGGGTTGAGGCTGCTCAGGGATGGTGGGGACGCCGCCCTCTCTGCGGCGAGGGCCCTCAGGGAACCCCTGGGGAACCCCTGGGTGCCGGCCGCTGGTTGCCGTGGGGCGGGCTGGGCCCATGGGCAGGAGGTGGCATCCGGGCGGTGGGGGCCGTAGACAGTCTAACAGGCGACCGAAGAGTGGCAGGGCCTTGGGGGCTGCGGACAGGGGCCAGGCCCCGCACCCTGCATGCGGCAAGCCCGGAGCGCGCTCCCCTCGTGCTCGCACCACGGTGGCCTGGGCGTCTGGGGGACCCCCGCCTGGCTCTTCCTCCTGCAGCCCCAGCCTGTGAGCGGCGCAGTGTGTGAGCGGCTCAGGCCCTCAGAACCCCAGGCTTCACGCTGGGGCGATGGAAGACCTGATTCGGGCTGTGCTAGCAGGCGGCATCTGGCACCCTGTTAATTTTCCCAGAGAGGCGACAGTTTGGTGGAGAGCAGGGGAGCGTTCCTGGCAGGTGATCCCTGCCAGAGCGCTCGGGTGCGGCGGCATCTCCAGTCGTGGTTCTGCCCAAAGCACAGTACAAGTGCACAGGCCAACACGGACGCGGCAGGGGTGTGCCGTGTCCTGTCCTGCACGCTCAGCTCTCTGCAGACGTGGCACTTCTAAGATAAGAAGTTGGGGACAGGCCCTCCCAATGGCTCCAAGCCTTTCCCTATGCTGAAGCCCTGTGTGGTCTGGTCACGGCGGGCCCTCTCTCGGCCACCTGCCCAGCCTGGCCCTCCCAGCTGCCTGTCCAAGCAGCGGCCGCCCCAGCGTGGCCTGCGGACGTCTTCCCGCTGCACGGTCAGCTCCGTGGGCAGGGCCTGCTTGTTAGGGCAGGTGTGTGAGGGTGTGATTGCTGTGGCGAAGTTCAGTTCGCTGGGCTTTGACATGTGTGGGCGGTTTCGTAACCACCAACTGCGATCCACTCCTGGGTATTCTCATTACCCCAGAGTTTCCCCAGACCCTCCTTTGGGGTTGCCAGATTTAGCAAAAGAAAATAAGGCTTGTATAAGTATGCATGTGCAAATGTGTACAAATGTGACCACGCTGTCCGTAAACACCACGGTACGTCTGGGTTTCAGATCAGGTGGCTTCCCAGCCGAGGCTGCGTGCTGAGCCTGGGGTGCTGGGTGTCTCGGGTTATCACGTCTCGGTGCCCGTGGTCGGGTCACACGCAGGTAAGCTCTTCCTCTAAACCTGCTGGGGAGATGTCCCCAGTGCCATTCTCATGCGGTTTCTCTTTTTGCTCTGCAGGCACTAGGAAGCTTTTATTTTCTTCATGAGTCCTTAAAAAACATCTACCAGTTTGACTTTAAAGGTAAGACTCCTTGCTGTCTGCCGGGATTTCCCGTCCCGGCAGACGCCCCTCCCGGCGGTCTGGCCCCTCCGCCCTTGCCCTGTGGGTGGGCTGCGGGTGTGGGTTTCCTAAGCCACGGCCAGCACTCGTGAACCGGGGACCCGAGAGAGCCTGGCTTTCTGCTTCTGTGGTATGGAGATGCCTAGCAGTCGTGGGCCTCTCGATGCACGGCCACGCTGCTACACGTGTGAGGCTAGGGCAGGGACCGGCTCCTGCAGAGTTGACAGAGACATATCCATGTTCCTGTCAAATGCGAGAAAATGAAAGACAGAAGAGGGGATTGTGTATTTCAGAAACAAAAATGGACAGGTGCACGTTTGTGGCAGTGACAGGTTGTCCTTGTCTGGTGGGCAGACACCGAGTGCCCATGAGGCAAAGGTTTGCCCCAGATGTGGCTGCCAGCGTGAGCCTGTCCCGTCCCATTCACTTCTGTGTCATGGGGTCAGGTGGGTATTACCCCAGGGGTGTGAGTTTCAGCCCCAGCCCTGCTTGTGTGAAGCTCACCTCCCCCAGGCGTGTCTTTTCCTGCATGGAGACCATCTGAGCTCCACATGGGCTCTGCAGCCGAGCACGTCAGCTTGAGATGCCATCACAGCTGTAATGGCTGTGGGGCGACTGGTGTGTCAGCTGGTGCAGATTCGTCGGCTTGCGCACTCAGGAGGCAGAGCCTTGTGGGAAACGGAGACCCAGGGCCTTCTCCAGGGTGCTCCGGTGGCGGTTTCTGTCGTGTGGAGACCAGGATTCTAGCCAGCAGAGTGGCTTTTTGCCTGCCCTGTCGCCTGAGGAGAGAAATGGAACCACATAAAATGCTCAGTAAAAACCAAAGGAGGCGGAAAAAGAGTAGGAGACAGAAAAGGAACGAAGAACAGAGGCGCCCACAAGAAGGTCACAAACATGGTATCACTCCAGCTGTCCCAGTGATCCCTTTACATGTAAATGGGCAAAATACACCAGTTAAAAGACTGTCAGGGTGGACAAAAAGCAGCCAACTGTGTTCTGTCTTCCAGAAACCGACTTAGAGTGTGTAGACCCACAGGTCACAGTGAAGGGTGGAGAGAGGTGCACGGTGCGGCTGCTGATCAGGAGGTGCTGCTGGAGCTCTGCTGATTTCCAACAGAGCTGCCGCCAGAGCAGGGACAGTTGCAGCAATAAAGACGGACACTGCGGAATGGCACAAAGGCCAGTTCTTCAAGAACGCACAACAGCCCTTTCGTGTGCACCTAACTGGAGAGCGCCAACATACACAAGGCAGAAGCCGGGAGAACTGCAGGAAGAGACGGGAATCCTCCATGGCTGGAGAGTCCGGCACCCTTTGTCAGAATGCACAGATCCAGCAGGCGAGAGCCGGCAAGGACGTTGTGAGACTCGGCAGCGCCGCCAGGCGTCGGGTCAGACCGATGCTCGTGTGATACTCCGTCCAGTGGCAGCGGAAGGTACATTCCGCCCAGCTCACAGGACAGTCCCTGAGACGGATCACATCTGGGCCGTAAAACATACCTTCATAACTTTAGAAGAACAGAAATCATATCTGTGCCTGCAGATTACACTGGACTTAAACTAGAATCAGAAACTGACAGCTGGGAATCCCAAAATACTTGAATATTACACAAGACATTTCTAGGTGATGCATGGGTCAAGGAAGAAGTCTCAAAAATATTTGGAATGAAATTAAAATGAAAATATAAGTAGAAACAACCCTCAGAGGGAAACCTACAGCATCAAATGCATTACTTAAAAAGTAGAAAGATCTAAAATCAGTTATCTAAGCTTCTACCTTAGGAAACTATTAATAGAAGAAGAAAATTTAAATCCAAAGTAAGGAGAAGAAAATAAATAATAAAAATCAGAGCAGAAATCAATAGAATTTAAAACAGGAAATCAATAGAGAAAACTAACAAAACCAAAAGCTTGGTTCTTTGAAGAGATCAATAAAATTGATAAACCCTTAGCCAGACTAACCAAGAAAGAGAGAATAAATGAATGAGTGACAGTAGACACTAGAGTAGGGCCGTCACTGCTGTCCCCTACGCATCAAAGGGATAATAAGGGAATGTTATGAACAAATCTGTTCCTGTGCATTTTGTAACTTTGAGGGATCAGTTCCTTGAAAGACAGAATCTGTGAAAACTGCACAGGGAAGACTAGGAGATCTTAACAGGCCCATAGCTATTAATGAAATCAGTCACTAATAACCTTCTTTAAAAGAGGAAAAGCACCAGGCTAGATGGTTTCTCTGGTGAGTTCTACCGAGCATTTTAGGAGGAAGTTATACCAGTTCTACACAATCTTTTCCAGAAATATGAGCAGGGGCAAAACTTTCTAACTCATCCAGTGAGGCCAGCACTACCCTAATGCCAAAAGCAGGTAGAGACATTACAGAGAAAGACAACTACAGGCTCATAATACCTGTTATGAACTTAAAATGCAAAAATTCTCAGCAAAATATTAGCAAGTTGAATCCAACAATGTGTATTAGTAGGAAACATACACCCTGTGGCCAGTGGGGGTTTATTCCAGGCGTGAGAGGCTGGCTCTGCATTTAAAAGTGAATTTATCTAATCCATCACATCGTCAGCCTAAAAAAGCAAAATCATTCAGTAGCCAACATCAGTAAATGCAGAAACAGCATTTGACAAACTCCCAAACACAATCATGATTTAAAAAAAAAAAAACCCTCAGCAAACTACGCGTCGGAGAGGACACCACATCAGCCGGCGCGAGAGGCACCGACGAATCCACGGGCGACGTCGGCCTGCGAGAAACGGCGGCCCTCCCGCGAGGCAGGGAGCCAAACAGGAACGTCCCTCCACCACATCTCAGCATCTGGCCTGAAATCTCAGAGAATGTAATACGACAGGAAAAGGAAATAAATGCATGTTTTTGGGGTGGGAGGATAGGACTAAATCCTAAAGAATTAATACCACCAACAAAACAAACCTGGTTCACTACCAAGCTACTACCACTAACCGTATGTTGCAGGACACAGGTTTCAGGTATGTAAATAGTCTAACTCGCTTTGCCTGGCAACCAGCCAATTAACAAGTGGAATTTGAAATTAAAGACACAATACCATTTATGTGAGCATGTAAAAAAGGAAGTCCTTGCGCACGCTCAAAACAAAATACGCCATAGCTCTCTAGAGAAAAAACCGGTGAATACTCTGAATGGCAGGGCGAAGCAAGCAGAGGTAGAGTAAATGAGGAAGATCGTTCCGTCCTGACGGATAGTGCTGTGGTCTGAGTGTTCGTTTCCCCGCAAATCCGTCGTTCGACCATAACCCTAGCGGCGGTGGTGCCGTGGCGAGGGCCTGGAAGACGGGGATCCTGACACAGACGCCCTCGTGAGCGGCATCAAAGCCCCTTGCGAGCGAGTCCCGTGGGAGCTTGTCTGTCCCTTCCACCGCGTGGGAACAGAGGACGCCATCCCGTGAGAGTGGGCCATTCGGTTCGGCCTGACCTGCTGGCACGCCAGCGCCTTGACACGGACTCTCCAGCCCCCCAGCAGCACGAGTCCACACGGAACTTCTGCTGCTACAAGCCGCCCCGTGTCTGAAGGGCTTTGTTCCCTCCGAAACACGGAATGCATGGACCAAGACGGGGAATGTTGAGATTGGTCATGGACTAGAGCGGTTTCCCAACTTGACTCGGTCTCCGTGCATCTCCCTCCGCAACCCGCGGCTGTGCCCACATCTGTGACAGGTGGCTGCGAGGTCTTAGGAGGCAGCCCACTGTGCGAAGAGACGCAGCGGTGAAAGCCGCCCCCCGCACCGCCGTCAGCCCCACAGGCAAGTGGACGAGCAGCCCACTGTGCGAGGAGAGCATCGGGGGACGAGCCCCCCCACCGCCGTCAGCCCCACAGGCAAGTGGACGAGCAGCCCACTGTGCGAGGAGAGCATCAGGGGACCAGCCCCCCCACCGCCGTAAGCCCCACAGGCAAGTGGACGAGCAGCCCACTGTGCGAGGAGATCAGCAGGGGACGAGCCCCCCCCACCGCCGTCAGCCCCACAGGCAAGTGGACGAGCAGCCCACTGTGTGAGGAGAGCAGTGGGGGACGAGCCCCCCTGCACCGCCGTCAGCCCCACAGGCAAGTGGACGAGCAGCCCACTGTGTGAGGAGATCAGCAGGGGACCAGCCCCCCCTGCACCACCGTCAGCCCCACAGGCAAGTGGACGAGCAGCCCACTGTGCGAGGAGATCAGCAGGGGACGAGCCCCCCCCCACCGCCGCCAGCCCCACAGGCAAGTGGACGAGCAGCCCACTGTGCGAGGAGAGCAGCAGGGGACCAGCCCCCCCCCACCGCCGTCAGCCCCACAGGCAAGTGGACGAGCAGCCCACTGTGTGAGGAGAGCAGC